GATCGACCAGAAGCTGCCACCTTCTGATCATCTGATAGTGCCAAAACATAATAACTAATGAAGTATCATAGGATAGTAAACCTGCTTTTGTTATTGATTTTTCTTTTTACAAACCTTTAGTTTTTTTGTGCTTTCCTTTGTTACGAGATGTTTTCTTGGGCATAAAATAAACTTTCAAGTTCAAGTTCAATCGATGAATAACTCGTTTTCTGCCAACTGGACAATTTCGTTTTACGCTTCCATCTTTCGAACAATTTTGCCGGTTCGAAACCGAAACCCGTCCATATTGAATATATTCCAATATCAGTTGCTGGTTGAGAAATACTAGCACATAATGCCAATAGTAGCGTAGCCAACATGAGCCAATTGAGTGAATGACTAACACGTTTCCAGATGGATTTCTATTTTTGTTGCCAGTTCCAAGTTGTTTGTGTACCATTTTGGATAAACGATGAGGTCACTTGTTCTTCGTGTGGCATGGGTTGATTAAAGTTGACTTACGATGGAACTACTGTAATTGATTGGAGTTTCACTAGTTCACCATCCGGACTGCTAAGCAAAGGTAATAATTGAACTTCACTCACTTGATACTGCACTGCTTTGGCCAACATTGAATCAACTGTTGAATGATGAACTAATTGTGCTGAAACGATGGCTTGGATGAGTAATTTCAAGTTCAGTTCATTTTGTATCCGATCCAATTTGAGTTCATGTTTCATACTTTCCATGTGTAGTTCATGTTCTAGTTTCATTTGTGTAGTTTGCATTTTCAGTTCCATTTCCATTTGTTTGGCTTGCAAGTTCATTTCAGATTTTTCCAGTTGGCCCTGTTTCATACTGAATTCGTTTTGCATTTGTTGTAATTCCAGTTGACGTTTTAATTCCAAATTAATACGATGTTTGTCTTCAGACATCATCACTGGCTGTAGCTCAGTCATATTTTGTGGACATGATGCTAATATTTGTGGGTGTGGTTGATTATCGACTTGTACTTCACTATTGTCGGATGTTTCGATTTTGTCTGGCCAGAATTTTTACAATGGATGGTCTATTTTATGTGACGCCGACTGAGTTGTTAACATTTTGGCTGCTTGTTCGATTTGGTTGGCTGTTCCAAAGGCTTTAATGAATGACATTTGTAGTTATTTCCAGTCATAATTGATCAATGTTTCCATCATGGTACCATGGCTTTGTTGTACCAACTAGTTTCAAAGGAAGCGACAGTTGCCGCTGATCTTCGCCAATGCCAGCTGTTGTAGATGCTTGATTGAAAGCCATAAGCCAGTCGACTATATTTTGACCAACCTCACGGTTGAATGGTATAAGTTGTGAAACGCTTGTAATTCTGGAAATGTTGACGGTGTTACCGCCATTGTTGTCGTTGATGATGATCTCATATACCCTGGTGTTGTAATTATTGAGTTTGGTTCAACTGGTCCGAAATCATCATACCATCGTTGAGTAAGATGTTCCCTTCTGAGATGTTCAATATTTTCCAACCGTACTTCCACCTGTTCGATAACGTTCATATATGCACCATAAATTACAACTAAATATTGTCAACGTTGTACGTCAATTCGATGATCAATCCTGGAAAGCGTTCATTATTAGTTTCGCATCTTACTAATACCAATTCTCTAATTTTGAAATTACAATTATCTGGTGAGTGATGCTATGATTGATGGCATTGTGGTGTTGATGTCGGTCGACCATCTGGATTCGCCAACCGATATTTTTGAAGTTCCATAACGATAAAACCACTTGGATTCTTCTTTGATAATGATGTTGTTTGTATCAAACATCGGCTAGTGCACCAATGTTAGGTTGTCGATTCGTTCTTGTGTTATGGAACTTGATCGTAAGAGATAGTCTCCTAATAAATAAAAGTTAATGTTTAAACATTAACATAGGTTCATGAGTGAGAAATCTTGGGCGCTCACATAGCCTTTGTCGATCGCGCGCATAGTTCGGATTTTAACGTGGTGACAACTTTCATTATTTGTTGTTATTTAGTCTTTCTTGAACACAGCACATATATATATTTCACTCTTTAGTTAGTTTTCTGTTAAAATAAAAAACAATATAATCGGGTTCGCAATGCCATCAACACGTGCAACTGAACAACATCATGTTATACAAAGCAGCAGGAAAATATCGAAAAAAGCACAAAAAATTAAACCACAAGCACAACGTAATATTAGCAGAAAAGATACAATCGTAAAAACGGAAATAATTTCATTATCATAATTCAACGTTTTGGGTTTCCATGAACCCATTTTCACGAATATTTTTTTAAAAATTACGTTGACAAAGAAAACAGTGAAAATAAGAAGTATTGTTATAAGAAATTTCAAATCTAATTCAAGTTTTGTTAATCGTAATTTTTCATGGAGTAATGATCGGAAATATGAAAGAACTGAGGCCGCATAAAGTACCGTATTGTTTTAACAAAAAAGTGGCGTCAGGCTTATTCCTCAAAAACCAACCACTAA